AGGAAGGAAGGAAAGAAGGAGGGAGGGAGGGAGGGAGGAAGGAAGGAAGGAGGAAGGAGGGAGAGTGGGAGGGAGGGAGGAAGGTAGGAAGAAAGGGAGGGAGGAAGGATAGCAAAAGGGGAAAAGGGAAGGACGGAACAAGAGAGGGAGGGAAGGAGAAGGAAGGATGACAGAAAGTGAGAAAAAAGGACCTTGTATTTTTACACAGTGTGGATTTTTAAAAGAACACTGTATTTTGATATCATAGGCCAAATGCAATTTGAGAACAATATGTTCAATATGTTCCTTAGTTTATTAGTGGGCCTGAGTCTCATGATTTAAACAAAGAAATTGGGAAAGTTTTTAGAAATATAAATATGTAAAGAAAAAAATCAGGTTTTAAATTATAGTTGAATTCATTTAAATATAAATCAGTGACTATATCAATTAGATATGAACGTATGTTATGGGGGGGGGCTGGAGGGATGGCTCAGCAGTCAAGAGTGCTGACTGCTTTTTCAGAGAACCCGGGTTTGATTCCGGGCATCCACAAGCCGCTCATAATCCTCTGTAACTCCAGTTCCAAGGGAATCCAAAGCCCTCTTCTGACCTCCGTGGGCATTGCATGAACATGGGTTCACTTATATGCATGCAGGCAACACACTCATACACATAGAATAAAAATAATAAATAAAATATTTTTTTAAAAAAGGAGTCTCTCTGGAGCCTCAGATGGCCTAGAACTCGCTATGTAGACCAGCCTGGCCTCAACTCACAGAAATCTGCCTACCTCTGCCTCCTGAGTGCTGGAATTAAAGGTGTGTATCACCACACCTGGCAAAAGCTATATTTCAATGAAGCCTAAAATCTCCATTTATTTTCTTCTGTTTATGCTTTTGACACCATTTCCAAGAAATCACCAAATCCAGCATCATGACAGTGTTTCCTTGCAAGAGTTTTATGGTTTAGGCTCTTGTCTTTGACCTTTTTCTTTTTTCGCACATGGTGTTAGGTAAGTGTTCACCTTCATTTTTTCCTAATAGTCACAGTTTTCCCAATATTTATTGAGTACACTGTGTTTTCCATATTGAATGGTCTCCCTGTAGCCCCAGCTGGCCTGGAACTTGCTATGTAGACCAGGCTGGCCTGGATCTCACGGAACTCTGCCTGCCTCTGCCTTCCTAGTGCTGGGATTAAAGGTGTGTACCATCACACCCAGCTGGCAATCTTTTTTTGAGATTTATTTGTGCTGGAGACATGGGTCAGCAGTTAAGAGAACTGGTTGCTCTTCTAGAGGACCGAGGTTCAGATCCCAGCACCCACAGTGGCTAACTATCATCTATAACTTTAGTTCCGGGGGATCCACTGTCCTCTTCTGGCCTCTGTGGGCATGTATTCATGTGATATATGTACATACATGTAGGCAAAACACTCAAACCCATAAATGAAAAGATTTCTTTACTTATGATTTATGTGTATGGCTCCTTTGCCTGCACGTAAGTGCACCATGTGCATGGAGTGCCTCAGAGGCCAGACGAGGGCATCAGATCCCCTGGACTAGAGTTACAGATGGTTGTGAGGCATGCACCATAAGTGCTGGGACCTGAACCCAGGTCCTCTGCAAGAGCAATGTGGTGGTTTGAATGAGAATGACCCCATAGGCTCCAAGTATTTTGACATTTCATCCTCAGTTTGTGGTACTTTGGGGGGAGGTCTTAGAAGGTGTGGCCATGTTGGAGAAAGCATGCCATTGGGGTGGGCTTACCCAGTTCCTAAGCCTTGACTGATGTCCAGTTGCACGCTACTTCCTGTGCCCGCTTGAAGATGTGAGAGCTTAGCTTCTGCTCCTACTCCAGCCACCTCTGCTGCCATGCCTCCCCACCATAATGGACTCTTGCCCATTTGGAACCGTAAGCTAAATAAACTCTTCCTTTTATAAGTTCCCTTGGTTATGGTGTTTCTATCACAGCAACAGAAAAGGAACTAATATAAGCAGCAAGGGATCTTAACTGCTGAGCTGCCACTCCAACCCCATCTTGTTGGAACTCTTTTGGCCACATATCCAAGGATTTATTTTGATGTCCTCTACTTTGTTCCACTGGTCTTTCTGTCTTTATAACAATACCAAAGTTTGGATTAGTGTTGCTTTATGGAAATTTATGAAATAAGTGAAAGTCCTTCAACTTTGTTCATGACTGTTTCAGGTCTTGTGTCATCTCAGATTCCATACAAGCTTTGAATGAACCTTTGTATTTCTGTAAAACAAAAATCATTGACACTTACAAAGGCATTACATTGAACTTGTGGGATGCTTTCATTCGCAGGTTTAGTCTTACTGAGAATTTCCATGTGTCCACCATCCAGTCTTGACCATATCTGTTTCATTAAGCTCATCTACTTTGTTTCTCTATAACTTATAGTACTCTCTTGTAATCATTTTAATTTCTACCTCATTTTAATTTCTAATTTTAATAATTTGAGTTTTCTTTTTTGTTGTTTTTGTTTTGAGCCAATTTAAAGGTTTATAAACTTTCGTCTCTTTTACAGAACTAACTTTGTTTCATTAATTCATTCTCTCTCTTTTCTCTCTCTTTCTCATTCTCTCCCCAACTGTCTTCAGGATCTTGCTATGTTGCCCTAGCTGAACTGGTACTTGCTATGTAGCCTAGGATGGCCTCAATCTCAAGGCAATCCTCCTGCCTCAGCCTCCCAAGTACTCCTGGGAGTACAGCTGTGCACTATCAAACCCAGCTTCTCTAATTTTTTTTCTATTCTCTATTTAGCTTTATTCTTTATTTAGCTTTTTTCTTTTCTACTTCTCTAAATTGTAAAATTAAGTTGCTCCCTAAGAGTCATCTCTGTTTTTCTTTAAACAGAGGGACTCTTGTATGGCCCAGGCTAGCTTCAAACGTGCTATGTCAGTAAGGATGATCTTGAACTTCTGATGCGACTGCCACCATCTCATGCATGTTGGGATTACAGGCATGAGTCACCACACCTGGTGTTGGAGATCAAACCCAGGGCTTCCTTCAGGTTAAGAAAACACTCTACCAATTGAACTACACCCTGGGCCCTTTTTTTGGGGGGGTCTCTCTCTCCTTCCCTCCCCACCCTCTCTCTGAACAGGATCTCACTATGCAGCCCTGGAACTCACAGAGATCCACCTGCCTCTGCCTCCCGAGTGCTGGGATTAAAGGCATACACCACCACACCTGGCTTATTGTATTCATCTTTATGTACTAAGGTCAAAAAGGAGTATCAACCCATTGTTTCCTGTTCTCTGTGATTTCTAATGAGGTATCTGCTGACAGAATTATTTCCTTGGGTTTAGAGTTTTTTTTTTTTTTTTTTTTTTTGCTGTTTTCAAGACAGTCTCTGAAGTGTTCATTTAATTCTTTCATCACCATGTGTCCCCATGCAGATTTATTAGTTTGTCCTACCTTGTACTTTGCTAAGCTTCTTGACTGTTCATTGTCATGTGACCCATCAAACTTCAGGCCATTGTGTCTTCAAATACCTCTCTCCTTTCCCTTTCCCTTTTTCTCCTTTGATAATCTCACAAGTACATACTGGTTTACTGGATGGTGTCCCACAGATCCCTTAGTCTTTCTTCATTTTTCTTTAATATCTCTTGTGGTTCCTAGACTTAACTTCAATTGCCCTATCTTCAGTTTTGCTGATCAATACCTGTCTGCCTCAACCAGCTTCTTAATCCTTATAATTAAATTTTCATTTTAATCGTTATATAAGACACTTCAGCTGGTGGAGAGGGGATCAATAACACCAATCAAAACACATATTCTTGATACCTGGAGTAAAAGGTCTTTATTGTCCACTGTGCCTCCCAACTGCCATGTGCAAGCTGCTTCAGTAACATGCACCGCTGCCTGTCATGAGGCTTGGAGGGTGGGAGTCAGAGAGCTGCTAGTATACTAACAGCTGAAACCAACTGATCTACCACCCATGCTTTCCCAAGAAAGCTGTAGGATGGATCTGAACTCTGCCAAAGAAAAGTATACCTAATGTGTTCTACCACCCCAGCTACCTAGGTAGGGAGGATGAGGCCTAGCTCTTCTATTCTATATTAGCAAGTCACTCTCAGCCAGGAGAAGTTTTAAAGATGAACAAAGGAGTGTGGGCAGTGTCTTACACTGTGGAGCTGTGTGTGGTTCAGAGTTAATTACAAGATGAATATCTGATATATGGACTGAGCACAAAGGGATGGGGGGAGGGAGGCTGCAGGTAGGATGATTCACAGCCAGAACTAGAGCTGGACTCCAGTGGGTATCAAAAAGACTGTCGGGACAAGAGAACATGTCCATCCTGTTGCAGCCAGCATGAAGACGGGAAGTACTCACCACTGCTCCCGTGGCTCTCCAGGACCCTGTGGCCTCCTTTCCCAGTCTCCCTGAAGAAGGATGGTGTCTTGAAGTACATCTGAGTAAGGAAAGCAGAAATGAGAGTGTCAGGTGGAAACACTCTCTCTAAAGGAGTGTGAAAAAACACCTTCTTGGAAGTGGCAAGTAAAGGGAAAAACAAGTCAGAGGAACTTGCAAAGCAAAAAACCAAAAACAAGTATCAAACAAGTATCCTCTGCAACCAAAGATGGAAACCACACTTATACTTACTAAAACATCTTCTTTTTTTTTTGAGCTTTATCTTATTTTTTTAATTTTTTAAAAATTTAATAACCATATGATTAGAAGAAGTATGTCATTACAGCTTTGACATATTCAGTAACACACTCCAGAGTAAGAATACATCTCTTTCAAAAGTGACTGTAAATTTTTAATCTGAGGCCTTCTTCTGATGTCTGTCGCACTGCACGACACGGGTGCACTCACATACATGCAGGCAATACACTCGTACACATAAAATTAAAAAAAAAATTTTTTTTTAAAATCTCCATTTCATTATTTCATTTTAAAATATACTGTTTCTTACAGAAAGACTTATTGTTTTTACAACGAACACTGAGATGTTGACGCATCTCTAATCTGTATGTATCTGATTATTGCTAGTCATAATCGGTTGCACTCGGATCCTTGGAATCTGTATATGTCTATAAAGTCATTGGGTAGATTTCAATGATAATGTATATCACCTCTACTAATTAACATGACATAACATTTTATGCTTCCTACTCAAATTTGTTTTAAATTTGTTGATTTGTGTGTGTATTACACAGAACATCCCAAACCATCTTATTCAACTATACACCCACGATGGCACCCTCCCACAGCCTCCCTCAACTAGAGAGCCCTTATACTCTGTTATTCCTGCTACTGTCCGCTGTATTGTCGGCATCCCCAGCTGTTCCCCACTATTTGTCCATCCAGTGAATCTAGTCAGCCTATCTAGAGGTCTTTGTTTTAGGAAGGTCAGCTGTTGCTCATCTAGCAGCAATCAGTTGCCAGTATTCCTTTAAATAAGATTGGGGTTTGCTGTTTATTTTCCCAGTTCTATGCTGGGTTATTATCTGGGAGACCCTTTGGTGACCCTGGCCAACAACTCAAAGAAGGTATCTCCTATCTGGCATTGTTGCTTGTTATGTAGCCTTTAGCTATACATATGGATGCTTAAAAAATTATATTGGCCCCTTTAATCTTTGGTTATACTTTCCTTTTGGGTGTTTAAGGCCATACAGTTGGCCCAGATAAACCAATTTATTTTTACTCTTAACGTCGTTTAAGGATCTGTTCCTCAGGGGTCACATGGGCCTGGGAGGAGCCCCTGGCTCCTTTCTTTTACCAGATCCACCTATGTGAAGACAAGTTCAAAGGTCCTACTCAACCATGGCTGGCTTTTCTTGGAAGCATGGAGGAAATGTTTCCTCTGTGTTGACCCTCCTCTTTGTAGACTGGACACTGGTTCAAGTCCATCTCATGGGGTCTCCTTGGCATCCTTGATCAAGAGGACAGGTGACCCACCACAATTACAGGACACTTTGAGATATGCTCATAGTCCCATGGAACTAGTCGACCTAGGAGGGCAAGGAAGAAAAACTGTCCTTTATGTTCCTCCGAATAAATTATTATAGGCCTCAATGTCTGTTTAACATCCAAGGTTAGTTCCACCAGTCTGGTACTTTTAATTACTGTGTGTCATGTAGATAAATCTTGGACAAAGACCAATTGTTCTCAGATAAACCTTACCTAGACATGTATTTCTTGATCTGGTATGTATAATTTGTCAGTAGGTTGTTGGAGTAATATGGTTCCCTCTGGTTTTTAAAAACTAGCTAGGCATTATTTATCTCTCGCATTGTCTCACCCCCTCCATCATGATTTCCCCAATTAAGGTGGCCCAATTTTCCCCATTAATAATACCCTTCTCCTATGGTCCTGCCTCTCTTGAGCTCCTTCTTTTCCTTTATCCCCTAGGTTCCTTGTATACCCTTCCCTCCCTGCTCCCTTAAACTAACCCAATTTTTATCCATATCTCCCTTATTAAGGTCTGTTGCCTACTATTCTTCTCCTTCAGGTTATTTCTTTTCCTTTACCTCCCTGTTTCCTTTCCATTATCCTGGTTCCTGTAGCTATGTCTGGATACATACTCACTTGTCAGGATTTGGTTCTGGATCCACATATGAGGGAGAACATATGTTGATTTTTTCTGAGTCTGTGTTAGTTCACTTAGTATAACAGTTTCTAGTTGCATCCATTTACCTGCAAATTTCATAATTTCATCTTTCTTTACTGCTGAGTAAAATTCCATCATATAAATGAACCACATTTTCATCATCCACTCGTCAACTGAGGGATACTTAGGTTGCTTCCATCTCTCAGCTTATGTGAAAAGAGCAGCAACAAACATGGATATACAAGTGTCTCTGCAATAGGATGAGTTCTTTGGGTATATGCCAAGGAGCGGTATAACTG